AATTTGGAATTTATGCAATTTAGTATTATGTGTGTCACATTACATACACATATAAGTTTTAACGTAAATCATATTGGAAACATCACGTAAAAAAAGAAAAAAGCTAGCAAAGCGAGTTTTTACCTAAAAATTACAGACAATTAAGCTTAAAGTTACAGAAAAAATGAAACGGAGGTACTGGTACTGTGTGTACAGAATATGAATCATGAACATAGAATTATCGTTCATTCTACCAAAAACGCAGGTGGAATAATCGAAAATTCCGTCTTCATGATTCACAGTTTTCATATATTCAATTTAATTTATTTAAATCGGTTATTTTCCTAACACCCTTTTCCTTCTCAAACACATGTTATTATTAATAAAAGCAATCTATTACCAACGAGTGTCTGTATGTAAATATACATAAGAAACATCAAATAAAACGCCGCTGAATCTGTCTTTAATTTGTTTCGAAGTGTAAGAGAATTAAAATCATGTTTCTAGGTGAGTGATCTGAATTATTAGTAAAAAAGTATTTATATCCAGAACTGAGTCGACTTATCGAACTTTTTACATATATAATAGTATAAAATGAAGTTGCTTATGCTGTCTGTTCGCTTGGATCTTTTGAACTACGCAACGGATTTTAATATAGGTTTTCGCAATAGATAAATAGATTCAAGATGATAGTTATATCTACATATAAATTTTCACCTATGCGAAGTCGGGGCGGATGTATAGTAATACATGAATTCAGAAGTATATTATAGTATAGTAATAGAAGAAAGAATTCAGTTGAATTTTATCATTATTTGATAAGTGCTCTTAATAGGCTGGATATATTTGAATATAAAACTTCATCAATCAACATTGGTATACGACGACATTTGTATGGGTCGGGGTGTTTTCTATTTATGTATTTACAAAAAAAACATATGTATTTACTAAAAAAACGTATATAACATCAGTTGTCTAGCTTAGGACTAGATGGCGCTTTGTCCTATTGTCCTAGATGATTATTACGTACTGCATATATTTAGACACAAATAAATTTGTACATTTTATAAAGCATATAATAAATATCTTTGTCGGTCACGTGGACTGTCGGGAATCTGATAATATGGAGATATGTATGTTGGCGGGTCACGTGGACGGAAGAAGGGGAATATTTAAGGCACTGATGTGATATTATTATAGTATTCCAGTTACAAGTACAGTAAGCAATGCAGAAAATAGAGATGCCTAGAGCGTATTATTTGGAATGTGTACTGCTGATTAAGACCGTGATATCAATTAAGAAGAAGAATATATATATATATATGAATACTATTTAATTAGATTAATTGTTTTATAAAACATGAGCCAGTATACTATTTTTTTACATTTCACGTAAATTCTGATCCAAATATTTTTGTATTTTACTACTTATAATACTGGTTTATTGGTAATTAGATTACATGCTTCTTTCTTCCCAAACTCCGTTCCTTTCGTCTTTTTATCATTAAAACATCACATAGCTCTAAATAGATTTTCTTACTTTATTCGACGCAACATTTCTTTACAACCAATAACGCTAATTTCATTTCCCCATCGTATAATATAAAGGAAAGTAGGTACCGCAACCAATAATTGGGTTTTGTATAAATAGACCATTGATTATTTTGGGATTATGGTACAAAGATCTCCAACTGTTACACAGTTCATTATATCAGTTTTAGACCTTGTTCAATTGATGGAAATTGACAACCATCTCATAAGAACAACACGCTTGATGTTGCCATTTCTAAGAACTAAGTTATCTTGGCTAGTAGTTCATGAAGGTGGGTAGCATGTTGGTAGGGACCCCGACCACAAACGTCATTAAACTCGCGTTGTGACTCGACCCTAGCTGCGCCATCCTCAATGTCAGATTATTTCTCGTCTATATGTAGTCAACGATATCCTGCTCCTTGGTGAAGTAGTTTAGGCCGGGCAAGTATATTGCCGTGGTCGGTGTTGAAGCATACAACAGGAATTTGGGACCAGTGGGTGCAGTGCCACAATGGTACCGATTGGTCCTCTTCTTCTGGCGAAGCAAACAAAATAACGCATACGTCGTACAAAGTCAACCTCGGTTAAAATATTCAATTTAAAAGGGATAATGAAATCTCATTCATTCTACTACTGTACACGTACTCGTGTTGTTAAATCTTAAACACGTGAGGGCCTAAGTTAGTGTTGGTTTGTTTATCCAACTTAATTTCGAACTTAATATAAGGGGTAATAGTAAAGAGCGAAGTTACCGCAACATCTCGCACAAGTGGGATTCAAGTTAATTCTCTAGACCTCGTTCGATTGTAGTGATGTACTACCGTTCCATCACTTAACAGACATTGGTTCAAGTTATAAGCGTTGAATATTAGGTAGTCATTTAGTAGTTAGTTTTTGAACAAATGAAATATAACGAGTAAATAATAATAGAATTAGAATGTAGGTAAGTCAAGTTACTCAGCTTAGTGTATCGAATTCACTTGGAATTAATAGGGATGGTTACCATCGTGACCACATGGCAACCTGATTTTATATTATATCCTGTTTAAATTTGGGCCAATGAATAATAATCTCTTTAATTATTAATAAGTAAATATTAAAGTAAGTATCCTATATAATAACAAAATATGTAGTCTAATTTAGTTAGAGCTGATATACCTGCAATCAGCGAACGAATTTCAAAATAAGTGGAGTTTAATAGTTTCGTAGTATACTTTTCTTATAAGAAAATCAGTTCTTTCTCTATATAACATCTACGCGGTTCATTGTTTATTAGTTTAAGAACTGAACAGAGAATATACAGAGGACTTTATATTTTTTATTTTATTCTGGCTACTAAAGGCCTACTAATACTGGTAGTATACTGTTCTTAAAAAAAATCAGTTCTTTCTCGTTATAACATGTATTGACTATACATTGCATAACATCTATGTAGTTCACTGTTTCTCACTTTATATCGCTACTCGCTTATGACTTGTGGCTACGATTAGAACTTTGGGTAGTGAAGTCACAGACATCAGAATTCCTTTCACGGTCGCGTTGAATCCAATACAGGGATCAGTTTGTCAGTTGTCATGAAAGCGAAGTACACCACATGTAACAATGCTAGATTGTTTTTGTTATTTATTAGGTAATATTTTTTTAATCAGATGTAAAAGGTTAAAGTTTCAAGTTAGCAAAAATAGCAGACTCTGAGACGGAATAAAAATGAATTTTGGTTAAAATATTGACCATTTTTACTTAAATAAATTTTTATTTATTTCAGGTACGTTTTTTTTTTTAATTGAGTGAATAAATAGATAAAGGTGTAACTGTTTTCGTTTTCGGACTACTCCAATGCCGCAGCTATCCTTTACAAAATTCAAAACATCTTTATTCATGTAGGTCTATTACAGACTCTTATACAGCTTCACCGGACGATAGGAGCGTGTGCAGATGGCACTCTAAACCCGCGGAAGAACTTATGGAGCGGCTGAAGGCTAATTCCCGCCTGACGGGTACGACTTTAGACTGAGGGCACCGCTAGGGGTTCGAAGTTCGCCTAAGCTCAGGCGAGGTTAGAGATTCGTAATTTCGGTCCTCGTTTGAATTGAACGGGGGATCGATCGGAAGGAGTGTAACTAGATGAAAAAAAAATTATTTGTCGTATTTACTGTTTACTACTAACTGAGTATTGTAAGATTTGTTATTTATAATAGACTTGCGGATAAACACGGATTTGCAAGCATTACTAATATTTGAATTTCTCGGTTTTATATTTCTTTTTTTCGAGCCGCAAGGCGGACCGCAGAAAATAATTATATGACGAATTAAGAAAACTAATTCGAGGTTTTGTTTATGAAGCGCAGTATTAGTTTTGTGAAGTACACTTGAAGCTTCATTTATGTGTAGTCCATAATTTATAGGTATTTATACTGTGTCATAATTTATTATACCACTTTAAATAAATTTTAGCATGCTCGTAATAAAAACCACACGAGTATCTCAAACGCAGTTACCACATCAAACGTGACTATTAAAACACAAATTTTCTCATATACTGTTTTTAATGTATTTATAGGTAATTAAAATTATGATTGGTTGAATTAAAACTATTATTAAACTTTTAATTCAAAGTTTACTATGTTCCGAGTAATAATAATAACCCTGAACAATTTGTACACCGCCATCTAGTCCCAACTATGGGACAACTGATAGTAATGCTCGAAAACATTATTTTATTAAAATACATACACACAAAGGAAACCCAAACCAATGAGTGAAAACTTCTATTAAAAACTTCCTTAGTATCAAATCTCAGCAGGAGCCTAAGAATTTATAAATCCCAATAGATATGTATAAAAAAAATTAACTGTGAAACAAATAAAGGAAAAAAAAAATACCAAGCCTAACAGGGGGGAAAGGGATTATTAGTAATGTGGAAAGTGGTTACTAGCAATGTATGAACTACATTGCCGTAATATCATCCCTTGCATTAAAAAAAAAATGCTACACAATCAAACTTAAGAAGCAAAATGATTGCATCGTGCGAGGAATTGAACTCGCGACTATAAGGAGCATGGCGGCGAGTTTTAGAACATAAAGATCTTATTGCGTATAAAAAATTCAGCTACATATCAGAAAGGATACTATTTGAAATTGTTAATAATTATTAAATATTTTTATTGAAAATATTTGTATTCATGAGTGCGTAGATTTGTATTAGTAATTCTAATAGTTATTATGGATCCATACTACAAGTATTACTTAGTATGAGGCTAGAGAATGTAGTCCTAGTACATAATAATAAACCTTCACGATTGTTATCATAGATAGGATTATCAGAGGTATTATGAACTGTTGACATCAATTGAGTGTGGAAAGTAACACTGTCAGTTTTTCATTTGGTTTGTAAACGGTGTTTCTATCATCGAAGAGCTAATCAGAAATATAAATTGTCATATCTTTACATTAATGTAAAAAAATATATTGCAATATAACTTACTAACCTGTCCCGTGCAACTTCCTCAATGGATCAACGATGGCGAAGTATCGATCAGCTGATAGGGCTGTCAGCGTGAAAACTGAAACTCCAATGCTGACGTCCTTTGCTGCTTCCGACACCCGACATACTGTGTCGCCCCACGGCCATGACTCCACTGTGTACACAATCGATGTGAAGGGGACGCAGGTAATGATGACTAATAAATCAGCTAGAGCCAGTGACAGGATGTATCTGAAAAAAAAAAACAAAAAATTAATGTTGAATAGTTTAATTGACTTCTGTGGTGTAGCGGTACAGTATGTATCTGAAAAAAAAATGTTTAGTAAAATACTAATCAACAGTTTATTTGACGACCTCTGAGATCCAGCTATTTAGCCGCTGTGCTAATACACATATATGTATGCATGCGTGTATATTTAATTAATATTGAAAGTTAACGGCAGTGAAACCGCGGGCACAGCTAGTAATAAATAAATAACTGGAAAATTATAGTAACTATATCTAAAATTAGTTATCTCTGTTTTGTATCTTTTTCTTGCTTTAACTGTTGTGTGGGACTATGTATAAGGCGCTGGGGTCGGTGCAGTTAACGATGGTGGTAATTAAAGGCGCAATATGAATTTATAACAGTATGCTATAAAAATATAGGACGTAACAAAATTAGGGATGGTAGCAGAAGGTAAGAGGAATATTAAGAAAACCATAGCAACAGAATGACAATATTCCTATAAAAGTTTAAAAATACGAATTGTCGGCCCGAATGCAAGGAGTCCTGTACAACTGTACTACCTAATGTGTGCGTCATTTACGAAAATAAAAGATCTAGTTGCCTATGGTCGGGGATTACTCGCTGCGATTCATTCATTTGTATTCATGAGTATTTGGTATAAGTGCTTTCTATGTGTGTTATTATTATTATAATAGCTTTGATGGTCTAACGGTTTAGCACACTGCTTTACACTGCTTTACTTGCTATGATCGCGGGTTAGATTCGTTGCACCTATTTTTGCAATTGTTAGAATTTATTCCATTATTCGATTCATACTAATTTTGTCAGAACAGCGGCAAGGATCCATCACTAAGAATAATTTTGGCCCTTATCAGTGTTAGAAACACTGATAAGGGCCAAAATTCAGCATTATAGAGTTAGAATTATGAAGTGCCACACAAAGATTTTTATCATCTAGATATGAATTCACGACCTTTGTTGTCGAAGTCGGATAGGAAACTCTGGGCTATAACGCGCTTTATTTTACATGTATACAAAATTACAGCTTAATAAACAAGCCAGTAAGTGCTTGAGAAATGGATTACAAATCAAGCGAAAAGGCAGACAGACTCAGAATGCCGTTAAAACGAAGTGAATTCGTAAACCAATGGAAACATAAAAGTTATACCATAAATTCCATTAGGTATATAAAACATTTTGCCAGCTGGAAAAGTAACTTTTGCTCGCAATATGCATATTTTATTCTGATTTACAATCAATCGAGTGTGATGGAATGGAATATGAAATACTGGCTACAACGTAACTAAAACACTAACACACACTAACAAATAGACAATCGATATGCCTCCATAGCGATTACATGACAATAGAAATTCAGATTGTTTGAGTTTGAAATAAAACAAATGTCCACCACGCATTTTGAACGAAGCGCGAACCGGGGAGAGATTTTAGAGATCATAATTGCACTCATTGTAACGATACTCCTCAGAAACAGCTTAACCAAACTTTTCATCAAAGGTCGACTATTGGGTCTCCATCATTTACCACTAAAAAAAAAAATTCCGACCAGTCAAGTCCTTGAATGGTCGATGATAAAGGTTGCCATAGACTTAGCATGGCGGATAATATTTACGCGCTAGGTTGCCATAGATTTAGAAAAAAAATCACGCGCTTCTGAAAATAATTTAATCTTAAAGGCCGAGTTTTTAAGAACAAACGAGCTCCGCTCAACATATGACCTGGTGTGTAAACAACACGCCGGTAACAAACCTAGTTATAATGAGTTTCATGAGAATCTGTCTAATTACTAGACGAGATTGTAATGAATTTGATGCATTTTAATATCTTGCATGAAACACAGAGATTAAAGTCTGGCCAGATCTTGTATCTCTGTGAATTGTCTAGCGCACATATCATGGAGAGTGTTCTGTGGAATTGTTTAGACTAATACCAGCTACTGATTTTCACTATCACACACCCCGGAATGTAAATAATATTATGTTGCCTGACTTAAAATAAATAAAAAAGGAAATACCGAGCCTGTAGATAAAAACCTATAAAGTTTATATATTAAAACACCTTAAAGGCGTTGGATTTATTTTATTGTTTTTTTTATTGAGGGTTTTGGGCTTTCGCTATCTATACCCGTGAGGGACAAGAATTGAAGGATATTCAATTCTTGTTCTCGTAGGAGCGATGGTTTTTATCTCCTCAGGATAGAGTGTAAACTTTCCAAAGGAGATATTTCGTTTATGCATCAGTGAGCTACAATCACATTGGATTGTTGTTGTGTAGTGGCGTTTCCTCATCTGACTGGCAAAATCTGCGGATTGTTAATTGAAGCGTTGAAATAGTATCGTTCATATATTATTTTTGCCTATCTGTGAATTAAACCTAAACCTGACATAGATCGTGCCGTCACATATCCAATTTAGGAAGTCAAACTATAAATTGTTCATCTGTAAAAGATTACCAACCTCTAACTTTACGATCTCGATGGAATTAATGCCTTATTTTCCGGACGTCTAACTACAGAACCCATTTCACGAAACTCATGAATCTTTTTCTTAATGAGAATTGCGTTTAAATGTGAAGGTAGAGAAGGGTCCTGGAGAAGAGGATTTCTTATACAAAAATAGTGACGTAAGGTAAAGATAAGAATTATACCGGATGACTTGTTTAGACGTGCGGGGGTAGTTAGGGCATATAACTTATAGGCTAACTTCCTCCGCATTATATGTCTAAAGTAGATTTCTAAACTTTAGCATTTAGTATACATTAGAGGGTCTTAAATATATTTTATTGTGGGGTAGGAAGCGAAAGGCTATTTTATTTACCATAAAATTATTCGTGTAAAGATCTTAATCTCAGATTAACTATATTAATAATACTCCTAATTCAGTATTTATTTATTTAATATTGTTTCATTTGGATATATTTTTAAATAGTACATTCACGCGGACATAGTTGTAAATCTGTGTTTTGCTCATTGAGTGATTCTCCACACTAAGCTATGTGTAATAATGTATTGTCATCAAATGAAATGGGAAATTTCACATACATTATACATATTCATACATTTCTATCTGTAGTTCTGAAATCAGAATCTCGTATCTATTTCTAGTCCGTATTTTACTTCTGGAAATATTTCAATTTAAAAAAATATATATAAATTATTTGTTTCCTTTTCATGTTCCTTGAATACGCGGTAAACATTTAAATAGATCTTAGATATAAAGATATATTGTTGATACCTACAGGGTAATCTACTTACCAATATTATATGTTTTTTGTATTTACAAATTATAAAGCCTTAACATTAAGAAAGCACCAAGCTTATATTTTTAACTATGAAATATTATTATCCTAACTATTAACGCATAACTTAGTAATCAGTCTCTAAGTCTAGAACAGCTAAATTCATATAAGATGAATCTTCTTTTTTTAACGTCAACTTATCTGCACCACTCGTGCAAAACTGGGGGCACCGCCTTGTTATAATGCTAAAAAGGTTGTAATAAGATCTTTTATACTAAAATTCTAAAATCAAAAGTGGTATCTCTTTATGACTGGAAGATATTAAGAAAACTTGGCGTGATCACAAAGAAGGACATAGGCTATATTTTATCACAATAAAAGCAGAAAAAGTAGCGGCAAACAGTTAGTAGACAAGTAAACCAAATAGAGCTGATTTCTTGTAAGTAACCGAAAAATAGAACGACGAAAAACAAATTATTAGAAGCGAAATGCGATTTAGTATCAATGAATGTGTGGATTATGCTAAGTTCTGCGTTCCTTTGTGTTGATTTCCTTTGAATTCAGTTTCAACCATATATAACAATAGAGGTTTCGTTCGGTTTTATGGTTTGAGTGAATCATTTGTGTAGGTAAACAGAACTATAGTCGTGTAGACTTTTAAACATAGCATAGAGACAGACGACCCTAGTATTTATTTAATTTTATATAAAACTATTAGGTAGGTAGTACTTCATTACTAAGTACTTACTCTGATATTGTTATTAGAGATTTTTCCCTTCTTTATTACAGTTTGCAATGCATTTTTCGTTTCATCGGTTTAACAAGCTGCATTTTTCTTATGGTCGCCGTTTCGATTATTACTACAGACATTAAATATATAACCACAGATAATATAATATTACATACTACTAACTAATAACATTGATCACAAACAACACACATACAACCTCATAACAAATATAGATAATACATATTATTTCTTAAGTATGATTGTTTGGTCAGTGTGTTTTCGTTGCACATATACTTATGTACAAATTATTTTACTTAAACTTAAAATATTTTGTTGATATTTAGATATTTTTATCAGTTGTATGTTCTGCTTAGTTTGAGACTACATGGTGTTTTGGGAATTATTCAATTATTAAGGCAGGATTATTAGTCTATAAATTTACAGTTTAATTCATCTAGAAACGTTTTCAGAGACACATGACATTGTTTTCAAAATATACCAACATATACAAAATATGTAACAGGCATTCAAAATTTAATATGTAAATTAAACAATACTTAATTTAATCAAACATTAACATATGTAGAAACAGGGAATTGAAATTTAGTGTGTAAATATCAGCAGTACTTAATTAAATCAGAAATTAATTGGCAAAGCAAATACTGTCGCGACATCAATTTAGACGCCTATTAAAGAAGCTGATACGAGCCGATTTATTTTTAATACAGTGCTGAGAGATTATTCGACGAAGCACTTTAATGCTGCCTGGATTCCAAGCATTCTTTGAATTTTTAATTTAATTTAATATTTAGAACAGTGTTTCCCATCATGGGTCTACGCTCCACAGGGGGGCAATTTGATTGTTAAGGAGGGAGATTCTAAAATGGATTCAACACGAGCTAACCCTTTCACTCCGGTCCATTTAAATGAAATGCTAGATTTAGGTACCAAATCCAATGAAAAAAAGCAAATTCTTAAATAATTAATTTATCATTTAAAGGGGCTGTTCAAGTATTACGTAAGCACTATAAGGGGCGGGGGGGACTTTGCTTTGCTTATTTTGGATGACATGGGTGGTACGGTAGTCTAGGTGATGATTACGTCATCAGTAGTGATCTACTTTTTTAAACGAAAGGTCCATCTCACATTATCTTTGCTAAAAAATAAGACACTAATTAATGTTTACGTAAGCATGGGGGAGGGGGTAAGAGCTTTGCTTACTTTTGCTGACAAGCGGGATGGTGGGGGGGGGGGGGGAGGGGTAAATAAGTGTAATAAATCTGTTTACGTAATACTTGAACGGCCCCTAAATTGAAATAATAAATTAATATAGAAAATTCTTTAAAAACACTTTTGTAAGGGGAATATCGGTTTTAATTATATGTTATGAAATTTTAAATACTCTGTTTCGTTAACAATATCATGGTGACTTCTTTCTGTAACCTATCATAAGTTTCTTAAGTAAGCAATTATTTTTTTTAATATTAAAAGTTACGTAGGTTACATAAGGGGGTGGGGGGCATAAAAATATAAGAAAGACTACGATGAGACATGGCACAAAAAAGATTGGGAAACACCGATCTGGATAAAAAGAAGGCCATGATCACTAGTTTACAACGAGTCGAAATTAATGGAAATAATTTATGCTTTTGTTATGAGAAATGAAAGAATTTGTTACTACATCGTGATATCTAGTACCAAGCTGAGCAGAGCTTGTGTAATGGGTACTAGACACCTGATATAAATACATATATACATTTTTTTGGCAAATACATAAATGATATACATAGAAAACACACAAACTGATACAAACAATCTTACTCATGAATAGGAATTTTTGTACGAGGTGTAGAACCAGCAACCATCGGATATAAAGCGATGTGCTAAACCGTATAGTCTATGTATAGTAGTATAGTCTAGACTACCGAGGGCCTCATCTCTGTACTATGTTTAAGAAAATAAACAATATATTAATTATAATCGCGAAAGTTTGTGAGTATGGATGTTTGTTACTTATTCACGCAAAAACTACTGAATGGATTTTGATGAAACTTTACAGTAATATAGCTTATGCATCAGAATAAAACATAGGCTATAATTATAATTGAATATTATACATTGAAATTTAACGCGATGAACCGCAGGCACAGCTAGTTATTATTATTATTGAAATAAAATACATACGTGTTGGGCACGTTTCTCATTGCTTTATGCCTCACAAATACAGCTACCAGGGTTCCATTCCCCACCACACCGATTACGAAGATCAGAGCGAAAATAAGTGGAACAATATATGTCTCAGGTCTTTGGTAGTAGGGCTGGTAGGTTTCTGAACTATTTAACAGCAGGGTGTCGTTGTATTCCTCCATGTTTCATATCTGTAACAAAAAAATATCATTACGACTGTTATCCCAGATGAGGTAGTTAGAAGCAACGTTAGAAGAAGACGGCGCGGCGCGGCGGCGGAGCGTTTAGGTGAATACAAAACTTTAAGTGTAGGTACTTATGTCGCAGATATATTTGAATTCAAAGATCGAGTCTACGGAAGGAAACAGACAAAAAATATCTTATTGGTGTTTCCATTCTCAGAGAGTCAAATATAAGTATAAATTTTCGCACAATTTTATTTTTTGTATAGAGCACATTTTAGCGTAATTTGAGGTACTAAATATTTGACTAAACTCTAACTAACTTTAGGAATACAGTTGTGATTTAAATTAATTTCTATAATTATACTAATAGCGATTAACTTATTCCATATATCTTTATAAATTAGCAATTAAAGCATTTTTTTTCGTCTTTAAATTTAACGTATACAAAATTGCATTAAAATATTTCACAACAAATTAACAATGAAATGAAAAAGACAGTATTACTAAATAATGTTCTGAAATGACTGCACGTAGTTCAACAAACTTAGGTAGTTAAATACGTAATTGCAAATTTAAGTGAATACTCCAATAAAAATTCTTCAACTTGTTGTAAAACCTTTTTTTCGCGACGAAATGAAAATTCCTGTAATGATGCTCTTAAAAACTATTTAGGTTTTAGCTTGTCAGTCAAAAATAGACATTATCTAAATGTAATAGGTACATTTATCAAATATCATTTTATGCTAACGCACCTAGCGTTCACACACAATGATAAATCACGTCCTTCCCAGCAAAGAAGGGAGCTGTTAAACCCCCATCAAAGTTCAAGAATTTGCACATAAAATGTTGCGATACGACGTAGGTACGTAAGCAGACGATTTCTTATAAAAATAGAACCTTAGTTTACTCATATATCACGTTTATAAAGCTTATATAACACCTTGAAGACCGCATTGAAAATATTATTTCTCACATAGGGGGCGGCAGTTTTTTATTGGTAATTACGTATATTATTTTTTAAATATGTTTTTATAATGTATGTGTACCCACGGATGATCTACCGGTATCAACGTGTAAATTTACTTTAATTGAATGACCCACCCATATCTCCATATATGTATCTATAAATCTGTTTATCTAATAGATTAAACGAGATATATACAGGTAGAATTGTATACAGATAAAAAGTCGCCTGTGTGTATACCTCTGATTCCCCTGTTCAGCCGCCAAGCAGTTTACATTTTAAGATGTGGTAAGGCTGAAGGCCGAGATAAGGTATTGAAATTACAAGGCAGAAGTTATGTAACACGTGTGGTTTCAGGGCCGTCACTAGATAACGTAAGAGCCGTGGTTCTGTTCATATATATAAGATTAAAGCCTGTATATTTTGTGTACCTTTTGTATACGAGAAAAGGTACTTTTTAAAATGGTACCAAAATATGGTTTTTAATATCCATAAGTGATGAAGATATATGGATTGTGTAAAAGATGATATGAATAAAAGGAGAGTATGCTCAGATGTGACCAGTGTAAGAGGATGACATACTGCGTCGACCACAAATAATGGGATAAAGGCAAGGCAATGATGATGGTGATCATCTGTAAGCAAATTACATATAAGTTAGTAACTGTTACCCACAAATTCATCCGCATAAACATATCTTCATATTAAATTCCATTAAGATCGGTTCAGTCTAGTATACATTCGTACTCAGTAATTTCACGACTAAAATGTTACAGTAGTAGAAATAAGAAAGTATTTTATTTTTCCTCCGGGAGGTTGTTTGGATCACATGCAGTAATTGAAAGAATGTCAATATTTACTTATTGCTAGATACATTGTTCTTTGGAAATCTCTTAGGTACTATATAAATTTTACGGCGCAGTAGTACTCTAGTTATTAAATTGTACGAATAACTATTAGGTATTTCAGAATCTTTGTAGCATGCAAGTTGTCACCATAAAATATAGCATGCATCGTTATGTTATTTATCTTAAGTAAAATTTTCTTAATATTTCATTTACACGTGAAACGGTAAAACCGACAAACCGACGTAATACCCCTAGGACTATTCACACAGCGCCATCTAGTTCTAAGCAAATCAGAGCTTGTATTATGCGTACTATACAAATGATATAAATACTTAATACATTTTTTTGTAATTACATTACCTAATCAACATAAAATAAACATCTAGATCAATACAAATAATTATATATATGAATACAATAGGATGTACTATGTATTTTTTTCAAATGAGCGCCAAGCCGCGATAAATTCTAGGAATTTACTGGAAAATACGTGAATTTTGTTTGGGTTCTTTAACCCAAAGAAAATTATTACAATTTTGTTGATCAATGTTACTTCTTTATTGGAAGTCAATTCAAAATCTGGATACGAAACGTTTGGAATATACAATTGTATAAATCATAGTTTAAAATTGTGGAGATAAATGAAACACCTTGATGGAATTTTTACATCTATTCTAATATTTATTATTCTTAAAACAAATGAATGCGGTCAAATTGACGATCTGATGAGCTAATGGTTTAGCACATCGATTTACTTCCGATGGTCGCGAGTTACTTCCCGAACAATACAAACACAAGCTCTGCTAGTTTCTTACCGTGTGTGTGTCCTAGACTTTATTTTATAAAAAAAACTATCAGTATAATAAATACCCAATCAAATTAGGTAGCTACTTTGATTGGGTGGCATAAAAATAATAATGTGATTTGCTTATTTCTGAATTTCTGACAATTCAACAATCAAATTGATTATTGACTATATGTTGATTGTTGAATTGTCAGTCGAAATTGACTTAGTAATTACATTCATGACAGCATTGAAGATAATTGCATTGAAGATAATCTAGTTAGAGATCTTAACAGTCACTGTTGTAGTGACCCATATACTTGATCTACCCATATTTTACAAAGAAGGTTTGAATTCATAATATTTACGGATTGGTTTGGTTTGATATGAATATCAGAATTATTGGAATTTTAGAATCAGAAATTTACACAAATATTAGATACAAATTTGATGTTGACCGGATTTTTTTTCTTATCTAAATTTATTTTAGGGTTTTTGTTTCCAAACATGTCAACCCCATTATATCAAGCCTAATAATAACAAATCTTAAAAATACTAAACAAAAATTTATAGTATTTTTAATTTTCAATGACCGGATTTAAACTAATACTACTTTAAACTAATACTTTTAAATTAATATTAATAAGTCAGGTAAAATCACAGGACATCTCTTACCCCGTTTTATTTATTTTTATAAATAATAATCGCGTCAAATTTAAAACTGAATAAGTCAGGGAAATACTGTGCCACAAAGCTCTCATATACTTGCAAAAATATATATATGTAAATTTGTTACCCAAGGATCGACAAAATCGAATTCTACTCCATTGTCAAGCACATAAACGCATAGTATGCTCCACTTTGCCAACATGAAAGGAGGTATATAACCTACTTTCACGTAGGCAACAGAAAAGGGAATGACTCCGCTAAGCAAAACTGTTTGACAAATATAAGGAAAATAGCCAAATCACAAGCGTGACGTAGCAAATATATTCTTAGGCTGATCTTGAATTCAAATGATACAGGCTTAATAAATGTCTTAAAGAGCCTAAGGGTTTAGGGTTGTGATATTTTTTTTATGTAACTGGAATAGAAATGTACAATTCTATATAAAAAGTAAATGTAACTGGCAGCCTACAAATATGTGTGATGCCATGTCAGCAAAATATAAAAAAAAAACGAAAGTTGAAAAAAAGAATAAAATTCAAATCAACAGGGTCATTAACGCAACATTGTATTTTTATTTCATAAATATAATTTAAATCTAACAACCATCCCTCAAATCCTCGACCAGGTTTAAACAAGCAAAGATGGAAACATGGTGGAAAGTAGCAACATGAGTAGCGCCATAGATATCGTAATGCGAAGCCTACTAATCTTTCAAACTTTCGTTAGACAATCTATGGACGGTAGAAGAAAAAACTGCTGGTATACATAGTGAGGAACAGCGATGTCAATGTAGGTACATACCTATGTACATTGACATCGCTGTTACTCCAGACAGCTCGTGACTACGGCCAGTGCAAACTAGTCAAAACGTCGTGAAAGGTGATTACCTTTATTGGCCATAAGATTATTCTTGTTAAGACTCGGTTTGTAATATAAATAGTAATCCTCATACGGTGTCTTATGAGGATTACCTTATTTATTTAAGACTAGCTACTCGCCCCGGCTTCGCACGGGTGTACATGTATTATATATATAAAACTTCCTCTAGAATCACTCTATTAATTAAAAAGCCGCTTCAAAATCCGTTGCATAGTTTTAAAGATTTAAGCATACATAGTGACAGACAGCGACAGCAACTTTATTTTATACTATGTAATGATGAAATACAAATACTTTAAAAAATATATTTATTTATATATAAAGAAACACCATATAAAGAAACACCATAGAAAGAAAGGAAAATATTTTATTCAGAGCTTTTCAACAATGTTACAATATATACCATTACATACCATTGGCTGCGCTATGGATGCTGCGCAAATCTAACTTAGAATTATTATACACTAGCTGTCCCAGCAAACGTTGTTTTGCCATATAAATTAAAAACGCTACAAAAAAAATAGGGGTTGGTGACAGAAGGGTGAAAATTTGGGGTTGCATGTATTTTTTAATGGCACATAATAAAACGATATAAATATAAAATTTTTCCCCAAAAAAAAAATGTTAGGGGTGGACAACCCGTATCACTTAGGGGTATGAAAAAAATAAAATTTCATAAAAATCGATCAAGCCCTTTGGGAGGAGTATGGTAACTAACATTGTGACACGAGAATTTTATATATATCTAAGTAGATATTTAAAAGGTAGGTGTGTTGCATAGTCACGTCAATGTGACTGACGGTGAAACTTATAATAGTTACAATAATAATTTTATTATAAAGGTAAGGCTACACGGAACATA